AAATCACAGAAACAACCAGGGGAAATGTAGCTTTCACACATGCCTCCAGGATATCCAGAGAACAGACCTCTGAAATATACCCACAGAAGGTTCTAGAAGAAAGTTTCAGGAAACTATGGAGCATTCTGCATAGTATGTAGGAAGACAAGGTTTCTATGAATCTGATGCTAAAATGAAAAGGCAACAGAATGAGATGACAAAGGGAACAAGAAGATGAAAGGCAAGGGAGAATGAAGAGAACAGGATACAAGGAAAAGATTAGTCTGAAGGACTAATGGACCACAGCTACCAAGGCCTCCACCGCACTGAGTCCAGCACAGCTAGATGGTGCCCGGCTACCACCTCTGACTGCTCTGACCAGGCTCACAACGGAGGGTTCTGGACAGAGCTGGAGAAGGATGTAGAGCATAATTCTAACTCACAAAAAAAAAAGGACCAGATTTACTTGCCTAAAGGAGACTGGAGAAACCCCGAGAGTATGGCCCCCAGACACCCTTTTAGCTCAGTGGTGAAGTTATCTCCGAGGTTCACCGTTCAGCCTGGGAGTGGACAGCCCTGTAAAACCAAATGGGACTAATGAGGTACAATAGTCCAGTGACAAGGGCCAGAAGGCAGAAGCGGACAAGGAAGCTGGTGATAGGGAACCCAAGGTTGAGTGAGGATATTGTTGACGTGAGATTGTTGACCATTGTTATAGGGCAACATGTGTAGTAACTGTTAAATGAGAAACTATTTTGTTCTGTAAGCCTTCATCTTAAGTGAGAATAGCAGCACAATTGGAAGAGCGTAGTCAATGTCACTAAACTGTGCATGTAGAAATTTTTGAAATGGTGTATCTTTGGCTACGTGTATTTTCACCAAAAAAAAAGGTCGAGAAGTTAGAGGATTGACACGTTGTGGGGTTGTTAACCAATGTCATAAAACAATATGTGTACTACTGTTTCATGAGAAACTATTTGTTCTGTAAGCCTTCACCTGAAGTACAATAAAATAAAAAAATAAAAAAATAAATAAATAAAAAGAAGAGATGAAAGGGGAGAAGAATGAGGTACAGAAAACTTAGAAAGAAGTGCAAAACGCAGTGGCAAACTCAAAAACCACACTGGAAGCAGTTAACAAAAATAACTGGTGTGGTGGGAAACTGAATCCAGGACCTGAGAACAAACTCAAATTCTAGAAAAGGACAAAGAGTGGACCCATGGGGTGGGGAAGTGTTGGGTGAGGCCAGCCACCTTATGGCCCAGTCTGCACTGGGCCAACAGACTGGGTCTTGCTAGGCAGCCTTTCTGTTCCTATCCCTTCCCTGTGGAAGGGCCATCTGTTCAGAGGCCGGACCAGGATAGGATACAGAGCATCAGGGTCATCTGCCCTCCAGGGAGGGGACACTGTTGACTGGCACACCCCGTGGGGAGTTGAGGGGACACCAGAGGCCCACCAGATGAGCCCAGTAGAGCTATGAGTCCATTCCCTGAACAGCTGCTGCTGGTCACGCTGTGCCCACACTCCCCACCCAGACATTCCTGTATCTCCCACAATCAAGTCAAGCAAACACCTGCAGGCAGGTGACCTCAGCCCTGCTGCCAGCCTCATTCCTCACCCCACGCCTCAAACCCAGGCCCTGGTGCGCTGTTGGTTCCCTGGCTTCCTACCCCTACCCCTGTCCTGGGCGCCAACGCCTGCAGGCTGCGCCCCCCAGGCACCCTGGCTGGCTTCGGGTTGGATTTAGCCTGTTGGAGGCCCCCACAGGAGCCTGGGGGAAGAGGAGAGAGAAGCTGGGTTATTTCTCCCTCACTCCCCCTGCTTTGGCGATGTACCCCTGCAGCAATCCAACTCAGGGCACACCTTCCTCCTCCAGCCCTCGGGGTGAAACTGGCTTTCCACCGGGTCTCCCTCTCAGCTGCCCATACCGCCGCAAGTAGTCCCTTCACGAAAGCCGCTTCACGGGACCGTCTGAGCTAACTGATACCCTGCCAGACATCGACACCGTCCCTGAGTGCTAGTCTCGTCTGGTCTCCCCTCCCCTGAACTTGCCGGTCATCCCAGATCCCCCCCTGCACCTCCGACCACCCTGCGGGGTCCTGGTATCAAAGCAGGCTCCCACCTCGCGAGCAGTGGGTGGGACCAACTGGCCTGGGTGTCTCTCTACCTCCCCCACCCCGTCATCCCCTCGGCAGGTGCACCGCCTCTGCGCCAGGGAGGGGCACCTCTGAATAACCCCCACGTGGGCTGGATAGGCCGGGCCTCTCCCCCAGGCGGGTTTGGGAGCCGAGTCCTGCCCAGCCAGGGCCTCTGCGTGTCAACAGCAGCAGTACCCCGGAGGCAGACTGAGCGACACCTCCCCCATTGCCCACACCGCCTCTCCCAGTCACTGCCCCGTTCAGGAGAGGGAGTGGCTTTCTTGGGGCAACAGCAGACTTCCTAGCAGCTGAAATTCTTGGCCTGTCTGCACCCCGGTGTGCCCGCCTTGTCCCTGAAGACCAGCCTCCAGCAAGCCCCACCCCGGGTCATCCCTCCAGGCAGTCCTGGGTGTTGTCCCCCTTGGGGAGAGGAGCCACAGAGGCAGCTTCGGAAGTAACATGCTGGTGGCGAGGGAGGAGGCCAGGGCAGAGACCTTGGGTAATATAATACCACCTGGGTAACCTGTGGAGGTTTCAAAACATTTCCTGTGACCTACTGGATATTGGCCAGCTCTTCCTGGTGGTCCAGCAGAAATCCCATGCCGGGAAGACATGCTGAAGGACCTCAGGCTGGAGTGTGAGGGGAGGTACTGGTTGTCCAGCAGCACCCAGCCAGCGGGCTGATCCTGGCCGGGCCTGGAGGGGCTGAAGTTGGCACCTGACGCTTGTGCGGGTTGTTTGAGGCTAATCCGTGGATGAGGGCTGCTTCGAAGGATAGCTTGTGTCCTTGGCAGAGGGTCCTTAGCAGCCCTGGGTTATGGGCAGCCCTAGGACTGCCTGCAGGGGAAGCCCCTTAGCTTCAGTGGTGGTTCCCCAATCCCAGAATTCATAGCCCGCTGTCTCTGGGCTTTGGGAAGTTCCACCTGCCTGACCCTCGGCAAAGTCTGCAATGTAACTGCAGCCTCCCTCAATCTCCCTATTGTCTGCAGCACCCCTGATGCCCTCTTGTACAGGGTCTGCAGATGGCACAGTGAGCTGTGACCCCCCTCGCCCTCCTTGATACAGGAAGCTGAGTCCTGAGCCACAGAGACAGGGGAGGCAAGGGAAGGTAGCCATGCCCTGACTAGTCGGCTGGTCCCCAGGGAGAAGCACAGGAAACGTCCCCTGGGCAGGGGTGGAAGTTGAGAGGGTAGGAAGGGCCCTAACCTTCCCCAGCTGGAACCTGTTTTAAAAGCAGTTTTCTCAACTGGGTAAGGTCACCGCTGGCTGCCCACCTCCCTGAGAACCTGCTGCTGGAGGGCCACTCGGGAACAAAGGTCACAGGGCTCACAGAAAGACCAGGGGCCACCAGCCACCTCCCCAGCAATGCTTTTCCTCTGGAATGAGGCCGGGCCTGCTGACCCCATGAGACCACCACTACTCCCAATTCCTCTGAGCGGGTCGGTGCCCACCTGTCTGCTTCTCTGGACATAACAGGGATGTCTGCACAGACATGTCACTGTGTGAAGGATGGAGCTAGATCACCTGGGAATTATTTAAGTTTCTGTTGGTTCCAGGAAGAGAGATTCTAAATATTTATATTTTCTCGTTGGAGGCTCACAATGCATAGGAGCTACAATGGTCAGACCTTTCAAATGAAAGGAAAACGCACACCCCCTGGCAAAGCACAACACACAACACAAATATGAAATCTGGTAATAGCCTCTCCTCTCTCTGAGAGCAGAAGGTGCCCTGCGTGTCAGGTCCCGGCTGACCGTGACATTTACCACGAGGTAAAGGCTATCCTGTCCTATGCTTCAGTGTGCAAGTTGATGAAATGGGGTTGCTAAGATCTGTAAGGGAGCCTGGCCAATTCTGCAAGATACATGGAAACCTTCTGACTGTCCCCAAAACAGGAGGAAAGTTTTCAGTTATTTCTTTTCCCTAATAACAGAGAAAAGGTGGACTAGAGAGGTCGTGATGGGCCAGTGGTAGAATGCTCGCCTTCCATGAAGGAGACTCAGGTTCAATCCCGGCCAATGCACCACACGCACAGCCACCACCATCTGTCAGCGGACGCTTGTGTGTTGCTAGGATGCTGAACAGGTTTCAGCAGAGCTTCCAGACTAAGACGGACTAGGAAGAAACGCCTGGTGATCTACTTCCCAAAATCAGCCAGTGACTGCGCCATGGAACACAACAGTCTGATCCACAGCTGATCCTGGGGATGGCAGTAGTTTCATTTCGTTGGGCACGACAGGGTTGCTGTGAGTTGGGCTGCCTTAACAGTAGCTAACAAGTTAGCTGAATTTAAATTTTACTTAATTCACAGCACCCGATGCAGAAATGTCAGGTGCTCTGAGCGGAGCTTCCTGACCTGGCTAAGCTGGTTAGACTCAGGTGGGGGCGAATCCATACGGCCAGTCCCATCCCAGGAGACTCAGATTCAGCAGCCATGGGGGAAAATCTGCATTTTTAACAAGCTCCCCAGGGGATCCTGAAACATGTCGATCCAGAATTGGGAACCAGCTGTTAGATGCTATTTAGAGGCCAAAGCCTTTGCATTCTCCCGCTTCCTCAGATTAATTCCTAAAAAAATAATGCAATGAGTAAATAAAGACAGTTTTCAAGATGTTCATGGAAGGACTTTTTTTTTTTTCCTTTTACATTTTTCAACTAGTTAGGACACAAACATTACAATGATTGACTTCTTTCATTTAGTTACATAAATAAAATTTTTATAAATATCTCTTTATAAACAATATAAATAGCTTTACAACATAAATACATTTATGCATGACATGAATTTACAAACAGCAATGTTTTACAGCTGGTTTTGTCAGTCTCTTAAAAACTGTCCCTTGTCATCAAGTTGGTGTAGGTGTGTGTTTTCATGTATATAATATATATAACTTTTTATTTTTCGTTTAAAAAAAACAAACAAACAATAAAATCACAGCCCCTCCAAAATAATCATAAAACAGCTGGTGTTGTGTATTCCCAGTACCAGGGGAAGGGAAAAAAAAAAAAGAAATGTAAAAGCCACATTGCGTTGGAGGTGCTTCCAGATGCTGGGAAGCTGATGACCAAGGTGACCTCATCACAATGGAGCAAGTTTCCAATCCTGAAACACAGAGGGGACACATGAAGCTCAGTTCTGGCCCCTTAGCTGAGAAAGACCAGCCTGCAGGGCAGTTCTAGAACCTTCTTCCCTCTTCCTGCAGTAGCATGAGTCAATGTGCCTCCACCTTTTCCCTGCAGCCACCTGGCGAAGACCTTCCTGTAGGAGGTTTCCAGGGCCCTCACCTTCTTTGTGCCCTGGGCACTTCCTGCCCCAAGCACAGTGGCACCAGCACGTCTGCCAGCCCACCCCCCTCAATCTAACCATACCCTTGGCGCTCACCCGGTGAGACACACGAGGGAAAGAGAATGGAAAGCCCCCTTTCCCCACCTTCCTGCTACAGTGCAAACCCTCAGTCTGATGCTGGTTTTATGTGTCTCAGTGATGGTGGAGGGAGGGGAAGAAACACCTGAGGAGTTGGGACACCTGGGCTGGGATCCCGACTCTGACATTTGCTTCCTACCTGGCCCTGGATAGTTCTGAGTATCACCTTCCTGTCAATAAAATGGGATAATAGCCACCTCCCAGGGCAGCCTTTGAGATTCAACGGGAGGCCACACATTGGGCATCCGGCAGTGTCTGGCCCACAGCCACCACTTAGTAAGCAGCACTTCCTTCCCTAGCTGGCTTTGCTTCAGACAGGCCTGGGCCCAGAGTCCCCTTCAGAAGCAGGGGAAACGAACAGGTATGCTGGGCTTGGTGGGGTCAGAGGTTAGCAGAGCCATTTGATGAGGGCTGAACCAATCCCCTTTGCACTGAGGAAAGCTAAACAGTGTCCAGTCCCTGCTAGCGGGACCCTGGGTGCTCCCTTCTGAGATGGTGGGTGCCCTCCACGAGGACAGCAACATAGAGGGACCCTGAAGGGTTTAGTGAGCTCCCCTCCACTCCCTTCTCTGGCTGCCCTGTCTGTTACAACAGATGACAGAAGTCTGCGATGTTCCCGGGGCCTGTGGACAAGGTGTTCATTCAGGTACCAGCCATGTCTGTGTCTGTCATTAACAGTTTATAACCAAGGCCTATAACCATCAGCGACAGTCATTAGGGTGGCTGCTTGGAGCCAAAGCCAGCCTCTGGGTGGAGGAATGGTCACCACGATAAACCCTGGGCATCTCTAGGCTCTGCTCTCTCACCGAGGGGATGGGAGGAGGTGAAGGTAGAGTAGAGAAGGGTAAGGGGGGTTCATCTATGCTAAAAGGGAGAGCTTCCAGGAAGTTGACAAACTCCACTGGTCAAAGGGATCAAGAAGTCTTAGCGATCTGGATTACCCCTACTTGGTCCCTCTCTCCAGCTCTTTGACCATCACCTGGCACCCACAGCCTGCCAAGTTCAAGAACAAGGCTCCTATGGGTGGGGGGCAGGGTGAGCATTACAGGCACTGCTCCATAGAAGGTTACTGAACTTTTGTTTCGATTCAAAAGTTGGGCTTGGTGCTTAAATCATGGGGTGAAGATGTGAGGCCTGTGACGCCATCTGCTCAGTTTTTGGACGGCAGAGGAAAGAGCAAAGACGGCGCCACGGCAGCTGCTGAGGGCTGGGCCCCGAGTGCCGGGACCATTCTGCTCCCTGTGCAAGGCGCGCGTCCAGCTCACAGACAGAAGCCCCTGCAGAATCGGGGAGAAGCACACAGCTGGGCCAGGAAGAGAGGAGGAGAACCAGCTGAAATCTAGGGCAGATGGAGAGGAGCGCCTGAAAGCTGAGGGGGGCAGGTTTCTCTGGTCATTGTTGGGGGTGCTGCGGGGGCCTCGATCGCCGTAGGCTAGCTTCTAGCTCTCAGGCTGCTCACAAATCAGTAATGGGAGGTGAATAGGTTCAGAAACAACTACACCTCCAGGGAAAAAGTGTTCCATGCTGTAAAAAACAAAGCCAAACCAAACCTGTTGCATCAAATTGATTCTGACTCATGGCCAGAGGCCTAACTGGTGGTGGGGTGGGGGGAGGGTGTGTGTCCCGGGTGTTGCAGGCATGCCCTGGGCACTGCTTGAGGCGGGCGCCAATTAGCAGTTTACATTGGCATCACAGTTTCCCTCGCCAGCTGTGAGAGATCATTCAGCAATTTAACACTAATTGTCCTAGGCACTGTCCATAGTTAGGACCCTGCTCACGGTGACCCTATTGTTACAGAGTAGAACTGCTCCCTAGGGTATTGCCAGGCCTTTCTTCCATGGCACCGCTGGGTGGATTCGAACCATCAAACTTTAGATAGTAGTTGAGTGCAAACCGCTTGCACCTCCCAGGGACCTTGGTTCTGTAAAAAAGGCCAAGGCAATTTGCTGGAGAGGCTCAAAGAGGGGTGCTCTCGTTTCCCATGGGGAGAAGCAGGCGGGGACACGGACAAGACTTTATGCGTGAAGAGACCAGCCTCCCATGTCCTGAAGTGGGACAGACAGGGCATGAAACAGGGAATGGCAGCAGGAGGCAAAGCTAGAAACCAACAGGGGTTTGACCCTGAAGCCCTTGAGTGTCGATGTCGGAGTGTGGGGCATTATTCAGCGGGCACTGCTGGGTGGTGGGAATGGAGAAGAGGGAAGGAGAGAAGACGGGTATCTTTGCAGCAATTGCCAGGACGCGGCACACGGCAGCGGCTGACGCAGCACAGAGGTTTCCAGCCCTGGCGGAGGGTGAGGAGGCCATGCCAGAAACAGGGTGGCTAGAAGCGTGATTGGGGCCAGGGTTGGCTCAGAGCTCACTGTGGGACATGTTGAGTTTGAAGCTAGGGCAAAAGTAAAGACTTATCTTCATCTTTTTTCCTTTGCTTGCCCTGAAATAGGGTCAGGACACTGAGATTCACCCTGAAGTCACCACGGCTGCAGCAGCATCAGGACCCTGGACAGACTAATCTGCCCGCAGTCGTGGTTTAGAGATGGGACAAGAATCAGAATGTCCTGGCCAGCTGAGCTCCCTGGTCAATGCCATCGGGGGCTATTCTGCCTACTGTGAGGGGGCAGGCATTTCTCCCGCTATAATATTTACATAAGATAAATTTTCCAGTTGAGGGTTGAGGAACAGCTGACCCAGAAGCAGTTCTGACCACTTGGCTGCCCGCTACCCTGGGCACCATGCACAGCGTGGCTGACAGATAAACTTACTCCTGGTTTGTGTGTATCCCCTTTTCCTCTGTTCCCACAAACTCATGATCTCCCCTCCACCCCTCAACTGACAAATTGGGGCTGATGCTGCTGGTCTGGAGGTGGATAGCACCCCATCAAGCCTCTGCCTCTCTAGAAGCAGCCAGGTGAGCTCATCCAGGCTGTCGTTACTGACCTTGCCACACTTCCCTGACCCCTAAAATGGGATAATGGGCTGAGGGTAAAGGAGAGCATCCACACACTCATTCCGGGTGGCCTGGCTCCCCTCTAGAGACAGCTTAGTGACCATGGGAGGGGTCTGCAAGGACTGCCCTAGGATCAAAGGGACCGGGCCTGCGGGCGGGGATAAGGCTTGGGTCTGGCCGTGCGGCCGGGGCGCTGGGCGTCCGGAGCGCAGGGCTGCCAGGCTGGTGTACTCACCGCCGCCAGGGGTCGCTGCACTAACATCCCAGGCCGCTCATGGAGCCGATCCGGTCCAGCTTCAGGCCGAAGCAGCCCTTGGACAAGCCCTTCTTGTTGCCTCCTTTGTATTTGCGCGCGCTGGGGTGCTCGTGCTGAAGGCGAGCCCACGCTGCTCGCGACTTGGTGTCCACGCGCATGTCCCGGAGCAGTCTCGACCGGTCACTCTTGGGGTTGGCGCCCCCGGGAGCCTTGTCGCCCTTCTTCTGACCGCCACCCGAAGCCTGGGTCTCGGTCACCTCCTCCCCCGGCGGGGTGCGCGGCGCCTGTCGGAGGAAAAGAGGCGGCAGGTGAAGGGACGCGCAGGGACAGCGCTGGGGCCTTTGCCGGGCCCCTGATGCTCTGGCCAGACGCACCCGCCAGCGCAGTTTGTCACTTGCGATGCCGGACAGGTCGGTCCCTCATCCACCTGCCACGCGGCCGCGGTTGTCCACCCTTCGGGGACACCCTGCCCTCCCCTCCTTCGCCCGTTGGCTACACTGGGTCCTGGGCTGCGCCTCTGTTGACGTCTCCCGGGGCTGGGGAAGTCCATCCTGAGTCCGGGCTTCGAGGGCTCCTGGCTCTCACAGCGCACAGCTTGGGGAACAGAGTCGCCTTCTCTGTTCCCCCCTGCGCGCCACATCCTCCCGGCCCCCCTGCCCCGCGCAGGCCCCGCGTCCCCGCGACAGCACTCACCTTTGGTGGCGCCCCGGGTTTGGCTTGGGAGGGCCGGAGCGAGAGCAGCGTGAGCAGCAGGGCGCAGGCCAGCAGCTGGGAGAGGTGCATGGTGCCCCCTGGGTCGAGGGCGAATGAGGCGGCGGGAGGGCAGGCGAGCGCGGAGCCGCGGGCTGGGCTGCGGGAAGGCGCGGGTCCCAGTGCTGTGCTGCGCCGGCTGGGTGCGCTCTGAGTCCGCAGCTGCGCTCCCGCCTTTATAATCCAACCTGCCGCTGATGTCATCCGCCCGCCCACCCGGCCGCCCGGGCCAATGGCACGGTGCACGCGGCGGCCCCTGGGCCAGGAGGAGGCCGCGGGGGCTCCCCCTCCGCCACCACCGTTATCCCAGCCCCGAGGGACCCCAGGCTCGGCGGGCTCGCTCCGGGCTGCACTCGCGCGAGCGGGGGAGCTCCATTTGCAGCGCGAGCGCCCTGGCGTGCCCAGCCTGGTGCGCCCGGGCCCTGCGCCCGCACTCGCGCCTCATCACCCTGCGCTCGACCTAGAAGGGACCAGTTTCCCTCCTTGCAGGTGCAAGGACAGGCTGGGAGGAATGAAGTCACTTGCCCAAAGTCACATAGTCAGAAAGTTGGCGGAGCCCGAAATCCACGCAGACCTGCCTTGTTGCCAAACTCGTCCCTGGGCACCTGACGGGTGCGGGCGGGGACTTCGGCTCCGCCTTCCACCTGCTAGTCCGGGACACTCAGACCGCACCAACGCGGTTGGGTAGAGGCAGCAGCAGAGGACCCGGCAGGAGAGGTCCGGGCAGGAGGCGCGGGGAGAGCGGGCTTTGCCCGCTCCGCAGTGGGGAGCGCCAGTCTTCTCCATGAAGAGCGCAAACATTTGCGCCAGTGTGTGTGCGTGTGTGTGTGCGTGTGTGTGCGTGCGTGAGTGTGTGTGTGTGTGTGTATACGCGCGTGCGGAGACGGGAAGAGGGGCCCGCAAGGGCAGGCCCGGGATACCGAGCCCTTGTGCCTGTGCGCGGCGCAGAGTGAGTCCCCGCCGTGGCTCCAAGCTCACTCTCAGGCCACCGCACAGAACGTCCCGGGGGTAGACCCGTGGAGTGGGTTTGGTCTGCGCGGGCCAGGGTGCCGCGGACTCTGCCTGCACCAGTTCGAGAACCCGCAGCGTGGGGATGTTGGCTCCAGTGTCCTGTGCGCCGGCTCAGGCTGGGGAGGGAGCTTCACCCGGACCCAGACCGCGCCTGGCTTTTGTGAGCCGTGACAGGTGGTCGCCTTCGCGTTCTAGGCCATAGAGAGGCCCCGTCAGGGCTGTCGCGACATGGCCACGTATCCTTGCGGCTCACGACTCCCTCTCCTTAAGCAAGGTGTCTTGGACCCTCGGGAGTCTCTCGGGATGGACCGCAGAAGCGGGGACCCCAGTACCCCAAGAATTGGGTGAGATGTGTTGGTCCGTCTATGGCTATGCTGCCTCAGAGCAGAACTCGGATTGGAGACGGAAGAATAAATTCAGTTGTTGCGATGGGGGTGTGGTGGCAGTACCCAGGTGTGAAGACTACCCCCACGGGACTCGGGAGCCAGGATGCACTTTTTTAGGGAGAGGTAGCTGTGCCTCAGGCGGGAGGGAGGCTGGAGTCAAGAGGGGCCTCCAAGACCAGGTGCCCTGCTGTGGCTCTCGCTGGCCTGACAGCCCAGAATCACAACCAGGGAAGCTGTGGCACCATTGTCCTGGCCTCAACCCCTCCCTTGGCTCACCCCTTAGCACTCTGGCACCCTGAGCGGGAAACTCTGGACCACCTGGGCCCTAGGTCCCTTTGTTTACCAAATAACATACACCTAGGACCTAAGTTTGGAACAGCAGAGTCCCCAGATCTGCAGGAGGATCAAGATACCAGCAGGGCATCCTGCATGGGTCCTGGGGCATTGGCTCACCATTTCCAGGCAGCCTGCCCTGGTTGCCTCTCCACCTTAACACCTGCAGAGTGGCAGGACTCTTTCATTTGAGGAGAAAGGAAAAGGAGCAAAAGGGGTGGGGAGGAGAGGGAGCTTGGGGTGTGCTATGGAAATTCACTCTCCTCTGCTGCCTGGACAGAGGAACCTCACTATTGGAACTTCTCTGAGACTTGCTTTATTTATACTGGTTTAAAGAGCCCAGCCATTCACTGTAGAGCCAGCCACTGGTCTGGCACGGGGGCAGTGGCCACATACTCTCAAGCCCCTCATTAAGTACAGAATGGAAGTTTCTGGAGCCCCATGGTCGCCTCCTTCTGCCTGAATGTCTGTTGGCTGTTCCTCATGTCTGCTGTTTCCTGGGTGCACTTGGTGGGGAACTAGCAAATATCTAGGTCTTCCCTCTCTAAGCTTTGGGGCTAAATTAGAACACCCGACCCCCCACTCAACCCCAGAGAAGGCAGAGCCAACACCCTGGACTCTATCTCCCCTTTTTGGAAGAGGAATCATCTGGCAAGTCCCCACTTCTGGCCACTAGGCTATGGCCATTTGGGGCAGAGCAGATCCTGGAGGGGTTAACTGCAGCTGGGCAGCTCCCTGCTGCCAGCTGGGGAGCAGCTCCTGTGAAGCTGTCCCAGGAAGTGGGGTGAGTAGAAGAAATCCGTAGGGTGGGCCGGAGGGACTTCCAGGGAAGAAACTAACCAGCACAAGATTGACTTGGAGACTGAAGATTTTGCCTTTGGGGTTTGCCCTCTTGGCGCCTCCCCACCCCGCAAGGGGATTTTGGGTTCCTTGCAAGGGGGAGCTGCAGAGGAGGGTCTCTCTCCCTCCAGAGGTTCAGGCCCTTCCTGGCTGCTTTTTCCTCACGGGATCATGAGAAGGGCCTGCCTGGGAGAGATGGGCTCCCTGTGCAGCTGCGCCTGGGCCCTTGGCGGCACCTTACTGAACGCTCAGTGTTACGACTCCTCCTGCCGGCAAAGGAGGGAGAAAGGCCATTGGGCCTCAGTGACCTCGCCATTCTGGAGGGAATCCTGTCTTCAAGTCCAGCGCTCCAGAGCCGGTTTCAGCAGGAAGTACCCCGGAAACCGACGCTCGCTTTGTAGGGTGAAAAGGACAATGACGGGGGGGGGGGCATACAGGGTTCCCCCTAGCCTGGGGTGGCAGGTGGGCTTCCTGGAGAAGGGCAAGGCTGGGCTGAGCCCGGAAACAGGGCCAGCAGGCACAGAGGGAAGGGTGGAGCAGAGGAAGACCAGATGGAAAACAGACGGCCTGGGGGTCAATCGCCCTTCCCTCAGCGCCTGGGACTTACAGGGGCACCACAAGTGACCGAAGAAAAAGCCAACGAGAGGCCTCACCAAAGGGCCACCATGAGAAACTGAGGGAAATGAGAAGGCCAGCGACGGGGCCGCACTCTGCGTGCCAGTTGTAAGGACAGCAGAGGGTCTCCGGAGGAGGTGTCTGAGGAGCCCGGCATGGGAGAGAGGCCAGCCTATGGTGGTCCGCGGAATTCTGGACGCCGGAGATGTGATGGGGAGGTGTGTGTGTGTTGGCGGGGAGCTGTCTTCTGGGGGTGGGAGCCTTCTGCTTTTAGGGGTGTAGACGGCAAGCCAGCCTGCTGGGGGAGAGGAGGCCATGGAGAGAAAGGAAAAGTTATGGCTGGGGATGCGTGGGTGGGGGCGGAGAATGAGCAGGGAGCAGGGAAAGTCGGAGACAGACTGAAGTGTGTCAGGCCCCAGGTATCAGAGGGTCTCCTGGCTGGGACCCCCTCTCTCTCCTGGCCTCTGAAGAGCGGGGACATGGAAGGAAGAGACGATGTTTTGTGGGCCCCTCCCCTCTTCCAGGACCCTGCCACCCAGGGGCCCTTCCCTGGCACACCTGATGCCCAGGCAGTTAGCAGAACCTGATGGGAGATCTAATGTGGGCGCCTCCGCCTAGCCAGGTTTGCCTAAGGGCTTCTGGGAGGCTTGGGCAAGGGGGGCTACGTCCGGATTGTCCTGCCCCTTCCCCTAGGAGGCGGGAACAAGCTCCTGCAACAGAGCGCCCCCTCCTGGCCCGGGCGAGGCACCGCAGGTTCTCAGGCACGCAGAGGAAGGAAAGGTTCTCTCAGCTGTTCATCTGTTTTCTCTGCAATTATTTCATCCCAAGGGCCGCTTCCAGCTGCACAGATTCTTAGAGACGACACAAAACAGGCGGTGAGCAGGGAAATTGAAGCAGAACCCTGGCCAATTTCTGTCCCTGAGCGGGGCCTTGCGTTTCACCACCTGTAATTGGGAAAAGGTGGTCTTTGCCTTTTCGTGGGAGCTGACAGAGTCAGGGGGCCCAGGGAGAGGCTCCCCAGCCCTGGATTAAGGCAGGAGGAAGCAGCTGGGGCAGAAGAGGGATCTGAATGTTACCGCACAGACACGCACACTACCAGGCGGGAGGACCCCTAGCCCCCAGACTCCCTGGGACCATCAGTGATGGAGGCCTCCCCGAGCTGACAGCCTCCCCCAGGAGCCCTGCACGTCTGGGGCCTGGCCTTAGGAGGGGAGCCAGAAGCCAAGGAAGAGTCATCTATCTTTCTCAGGCCAGGACTTCCAGGATAGGTTAACCTCTCATGGTGCCATGAGATCTTCGTCTGGCTGCAGAAACACCCCCACCTGACCAGCCAGCTGCCCTCTTCCCCTTTCCCAGAGGCCCTGCCCAGCACCTGCTCCAGATGGTCTCCAACTCCGCTGATAGACGCAGGCCCATGACGTCAGAGTTTACCACGCCTTTTTTTTCCTTTCCAAGAAGAATAATCCACAGGAAAGATTCCTAACCGTCGACAGATAGGTACAGTTTCCTGGGGGAGCAAATGCTCCCCATCTGACTGTCAACAGGCCAGTGAGGGGGCAGAGGCTGCGGCCCAAACACTGAGAATCGAGCAGGGTGGTGAGAGAGAGGGGCCTTCCCAGCAGAAGACCGCACAGCACCCCGACCTCAGCATGGGCGTGCACCAGATGTTTGCAGAGGGTTGACTCTGCTGCCAGGCTCTGTGCCCTGGGGACCCGAGCATGCCTTGGCTGGGCTCTGGCAAAATGGTGGTCATCTGGAGCTTCTCCTTTCAGGGAGCATCTCCTTTGCTACTCTGGGGGTCCCTGCTGTGGGCCCACCTTCCTGTTCTCTACCTGGAGGAAGGCGTCT